AAAGTTCTCATCCTTCAGGGAACGGAACATAATTATTTGAATGTGCATTAATCACACCAAATCATGTGATGTCTTAGAAGCTCTTTTACGATAATGCTATTTCAGGAGCAAATCGATGCATGCATGTACTATAGAGAATATTTCTCTAGTTTATCTTCAATTGTAACCACAGAAAGCCTAAATTATCACTTCTAGTGGTCATAGGCAGATACCACTTTTGTTGGTTAACAAAAATGTAGGTACAACGAGATATGCGAAACATAACCACTTCTGATGGTTGTATATTTCTTGCAAACTCTGCTGGAGTATAAGTGGATCTAATAATGTCATCCACTTTATAGTTTCCTATGAAATATTTCTCTTCCGGAGTAAAATTAAAATCTTAATTCGAAAACGAGTAAGTGAAAAACGAAACATAAAGATATACAAATTATAGTGTTTTAAAATTCATAAAATGCTCCAGAATCTCGTCCAATGATTATGGCTCACTTACTAGGTTCCTAAGTACCTTTTTATTTTATTTTAATGGCAGTAGCACACATAGCAAGTAAAACGCATAACTTATCTTTGATGGTGTCTGCTAGACCCATCATACCAAGATGAATTTCAGCATGAAGCACCCAAGACACATAGCTTTTGCCCGATATATCCAATATTACAAATTCACGTTTAGAAATATTTGACATTATTTACAAAAAGAAAGTTCGTACCTTTGATACTTTCAAAGTATTTGCTCGAGATGGCAGAGTCTCGTGCTGATAACGTGTTATAAAATAAAGACTATAAAGTAAAGACAAGTATAGAGAGAAACTGATATATTATTCGAATTCAAACTGATGTACATAATGAACTGAAATCTCTTCTATTTATAGAAGAAAGGAAGCTGTTGTGTAAGCTGCTACGCAAGCTGCTGTGTAAGTTGCTACGACAAACTGTTGTGTAAGCTGCTATTATAAGCTGTTGTGTAAGCTGCTGTGTAAGCTGCTACTACAAGCTGATGTGTAAGCTGCTACTGCAAACTGCTGTGTAAGCTGCTACTATACCAGATATGGATAATCTTCTACCTAGGGTAATGTTTATCCATAACCGGGTACCGAAGTGATAAGCTTCTTCAGGAAGCTTATTTCCAATAGAGTACTAAATAGATAAACATATTTACGGTGGAGTCTCATATGGATAAGCTTCTTCAGGAAGCTTATTTCCAATAGAGTACTAAATAGATAAACATATTTACGGTGGAGTCTCATATGGATAAGCTTCTTCAGGAAGATAATTTACAACGGAATACTAAATGAACATCCATAATATAATATATTTATAACAAAATGTGATCAGTCCGGTAGATTTTTATTTTTTTTAAAAAATCATTATTTTTGACTCCACTAACAAAGAGAGTTGAGAAAAATAGCAAAGCAAAGGGGCGAAGCTATATAACCTAACTTGGGATTGTATTAGTCGTGGACAGGGGCTGACCCACATGGTGTAGGGTTCATATCAATCCACNAATAAATATATATATATATATATATATATATATATATATATATAATATCCTTCTTCCAGAAAATACTAGAAGAATTAACCCAATGCAAAGTATATATAATCCCTTATACACTTTAATTAATTTTTTAGCCTTTTTCACACATATTAAAGAATTCACTTTTTAATATTAATTAATAATAAAATTATTCATCTTAATCTTAATTTGTTCATTAAAAATACAATAAATATTTGTAGGCTCTTTATATTAAAGACAACTTAAAAAAAAAAGTTTTAAGGAATATTATGGATCACAAAGAAAAATTAAATTACAAATTTACAATTTAAGGAAAAAAAACTACATGCCTTAATTTTTCTCTTAATCGAAAATCTGAACTTATATATATACATATATTTTTACTTCTTTGCATATACAAATTCTGGGCGGAGGCGTCGAAATCAATTTGAAAAATAGGGGAATCAGAAGGTGGAGGAGGAATCAGAAGGGTGACGGTGTTAACCGAGGAGATGAGGCGTAGAATTGCAGAAGGAGGAACGTCGACACTGACGGCGGCGGAGATTGAGCAAAAAGTTGCAGAAGGAGGTGGATACCTCTGGGGGTTTAAACCACCAGCCAATTACTCTTATGAAAGGTATGCCAACGATAGCGACGACGAGCTTTTGCCTGATGACGCTTTGCCTGAGCATCGCCCTGATTTTTACCATATTTGGCGCCATTATCACCACCAAGCTGCACAAACCAATGTATGTATTGTTTCCTTCCTTTCAATTTGAACTTTTATATATATATATATATATATATATATATATATATCATGTGCTTTATTTATATAATATTTAGTGTATTATGCATCTCGACTAATTCTACCAAGTACCTGGTCTGATTTGGGCAAACAATTACTTATATGTTGTTTAGGTCTTTATCAAAACTAAACCAATAGCCTCGTTTGTTCCGATATTGTTTGGTTGCTATAGTGAAGTGTTATTTATAGAGGTCATATGTTATAACATAATATAAAAATCGGTTTCGAGAAAAATATGGCTTTTATAGTGATGATTGTTATATGGGGATGCTGTTATTGAGAGGTCTAACTGTATATGTCTCACTAATTGTAAGCCAATGGAGATGTTTTTCCCCTGATAACACAAGTTTCCCCATTGTCCATGAATGTGATTTAGTTTTTTTCTTTGGTTATTCGAATTGAATAGGGTTTTTGTGGTTTTCATGTCTTATTTATTGCTCCACTGCTTTGCTTCCTTTGGACCAAAATCTTGTTAGGAATTCATGACTCTTTTGGTTCCTCTGGCATACTAATAGCCTATTTGGCCAAGCTTCTCAAGAGAAAAAAAGTGCTTTTTTTCCCAAAAGCACTTTTTTTTTCCCAAAAGCACTTTTTTTCCCGAATTTGAGGTGTTTGGCCAAGCTTATTTGGAAAAAAAAGTGTTTTTGGGAAGAAACAGAAAAAAGTAGCTTCTTTCCAAAAGCAGAAGCAGTTTTGGCTTTTCTTCTTACGTAAAATACCCTTAACAAAATATAGTATATACCAAAATAACCCTTAAACCTAATACTTAGGATATTAATTTATAAATATTTCTTCTTATTTTTAGGAAAACTTTCTAATATATAGTGACTTTAGGGATGAATGCTTTTATATTTGTTGAAGGAATTTTAATATATTTAACTTATATTAAAAGAATTAAGTACTTTT